AGCCCGTAGACAAACAAAAGGACTGGAGGGAGGCATAACTTTGATATCTTTTAGGCGACCTACTTTGGTCTAAACTAGACAATTAACCCCTCCAGTAGAGAGGTTAGAATAAGGGTACCCTTTCCCCCAAAACAAAAAAAATGGCACTACTGGGGGACCTAGACAAGCAAGTTCTCCGTCAAATAAAATGACCGCAAATGGGTTCGAAGAAACCGCCTCCTTTCGCATGCTACGCACGTACTTCTCCGTTCGTACAAGCCTTCCAGCACCCCTTTACCCGAACCCGTTCAGCGGGCTACCTGATCAAAGTAATGGACCGAGAAAAAAAAAGGAAACAAACAAACTAATTTCCCAGCAAATAAGTCAAACTTGGGTGGCCCTACATTATGTATATATATATAACATAACATAACATAATATAAACTGGTTCTGACAAACTTTCTCTGATCAAATTCATGGCCCACCAAAAAAACGGCACACAGAAACTCGCAGATTCTTTTTTGACTCTCCTTCCTATTCAGGTCTACCTAAAACGATTTTTGGGCTTGGAGACCCCTTGGAACCCTTCCAAACGCCTCGCTGGAGTGGCCGTGGCCCATCGCCTCGGCGCCGGAGTCGGATTTTCGCTCGGCGTTGTTTTTAGGTTGCCTGGGTGGGTGGGTGGGTGGGTGGGTTGCTGGGTGTGTTTGTGCCAAAATAGAGGCACCCCCCCCCCCAAAAAGAAGAAGTGGTTTTCATGTGTTGTCCCTTCAATCTAATTGTGCTGGACACGGTCCAGATGCGAACGGGTGGTTCTTACAAATTTCTTCAAGCGCATGTAGCTTCGGTTGCGGAGGACCGTGGCTCGACCCGAAGGATGGCTCTTCAAAGATGGAGTTCGGTTTTCCTGTTGGTTTCCCTTCAAGAACGGTCCAAGGGTACCCTCCAAAGAAGACGAGCCGACCATTTGGCGTAATTTTCCTTGTTGGAATCCGGGTGAGTGCACGTGAGGCAGCAAATGCTATTGAAGCTCCCCCCTTTGCGACCCGTTTGAAGGGGAGATTGGCTTGCCGGCCTGACACGTGTCCTTGGCTTCCCTTCACCCACCAAACATCACAACTTCCAAATGTGTCCTTCATAGACATTCACTAGAATTCAAAAAAAAAAACGCAATCATACAACTTCCGAAAAATCACAAATACAAGAGGTTCTTCATTGAAACTCTCTTCATCAGGAGTCAGGAGGGACTTTGGCGAGTCCGCCCAGGTCCCGAACCCCACATGGGCCAGTGACTTCGAACCTCACATGAGCAGTTCCCCAAATCCGGCTTTGGGTTCCGCGGCCTTTACCGAGGGCACCCCTTTTTTGGGTGGGTTTCAAGGACACCAAAAGGAAAACCGCCTTTTTTGGGGCAGGTCATCCCTTTTTTTTGGTTCGGCCCGCAAATGACCCTGGGTAATTCTTCCCACTCAGTGGGACACATCATTCTTTTTAGTGGTTCTCCCTTAAATGGTCATCGCATGCTTTACGGACCTTTTAAGAAACCCCCAAGACCCAGCTCAAACACCGCCCTCTCGGCTCGTCACCAAGCTCGCTGGAAGAAGCGATTGACCCTGGCCGCGGGCCCAGCGTGGAGGGTCGAGGAGATTCCATTTGAAAAGTATGAAATGCATCCCCGGAAAATGGGTATAGTTGGTAACCCGTCGCTATGGCTTTTGCTTTCAAAGGGTGGTTCCCTTGCCAGGTAAATGGATCTGCCATCGTTCTGATTGAACATGAATGAACATTCTGAAGAAGTACTGCGGATGGACGAAATTATGCACCACCGTTCAGAAACCTTGGAATGGTATGATTCCCCTGTACATACCAACAAAAGTTGCGGTTTCAACCATGGTAGCTCATTTCGTGGCGCGCGTTGCACGGATTTCGCCACCATCCACAAATGCTGTACCATGGCGACCAAGAGGCCATGACCTTCCAATGCCTCCCCAATGCCTCCCCTTCCCCTTGTATGTTTAAGGCTTCCTTATCTTGACACATAACCAGATATAGCAAACGGGGAGAACCGCCGTACCCTATCTCAATCTTCACGAGAGCCTCCAATTGTGGAAGTTCACTATGATATGAGTGGCTATTCTTTCGAGGCTACCCTCGTTTGGCCTATATTAAAGGGACACCAAGGAACCAGAATTATGTCGGACCCCCTAAGAAAGATATCAAACAATCGTAAGCTGCAAGTTCTGACACAGCCAAACAAAGGAACAATCCAACAAACGCACAACCAAACAAGAAACCGATTAAAGACAGAAAGCAACAAATAAAGAAAGAAAGCAAGCAAACACCGAAAAAAGAAAGCAATAAATAAAGAAAGACAGAAATAAATACAAATGAATACACGAAGTACACACGAGATAAAGAAAGAAAGAAAGAACGACAGAAATACATAAATAAATAAATAAAGAAAGAAAGAAAGAAAGAAAGAAAGAAATCAATCAAACAATAATGCAGGACAGAAAGGAAGGAACAAAGCAATAACAAAATAAATAAATAAATAAATAAAGAAACAAAGAAAGAAGGACAGCATGAACTAGAAACATAATCAATAAATAAAGAGAAAATAAATAAAGAAGCACAAGGACATAAGTAAGTCAAAAAATCAAAAACAACCAAATAGCAGGCCTAAAAAAGAAGACAGAAAGAAAGAAAGAAAGAAAGAAAGAAAGAAAGAAAGAAAGAAAGAAAGAAAGAAAGAAAGAAAGAAAGAACGAACAAAACAACACAATACTAACTCAATAGAAACCAGACCGACTAAAAAGGGAAGAAAGAAGAAAATGGAAAGTAAAGGAAAAACAATAAATGAACAAAAACAAAATGGCAACATGTCACACACACACACATAAATACCAAGACAGGAATCGAGGTTGTTTAAATGGGGAACAAAGACCTCCACTTCTGTTCCGGAATGCTTCTCTAGCAAAATCAGAGACCCCACAACCACCCCTCAAGGAATCCAAGAGTTAAGGTCTTTATTGAGGCCAAATAAGGTCAAATAAGGTTCATTGACCCTTCGGGAAGGGCTTGTGGGTCCAAAACAGTGGCTGAAAGGGAAACCCTCACGAGCTTTTCTTCACTGAAACGCCGTTACAAAAGCAACGCCCCGCACCCCCGCCTGGTGCCAAGCGACTCTGGCTGTGACGCTGAGCCGGCGGCAAAAGCAGATCGGTTGGGACTGCAAACCGCCTGGATGAACCCCTAACGCTGTTGTTTCCATTAGCTTCCCCTTTGAGCTGGTATCTAAAGTAGGCACATCATTAATATACCCCCTCTGATTAAAGTTGCCTGACTGTTCCAGGCGACCGCCGGCCAATACTACTCTCCAGGCACCCACAAGGTTTGGCCAAAAGACCACCCCCCAGAATATACCTGTGGCACCTCCCAGAACCCTTCTGATTTAAGATCTCCCTTTCCTGCCAAAAATCCAAACAAACAAAACAAATCAATACTTTTGTCAATTCCAAGGCTATTGACAATACGTTTGCCAATACGAACCCCTTTCACAGTCTGAAGGGTTGCTGTTCCAGACACATAATAATAAAAAGGCTCGCACCTGCAAGGCTAGGTGGCCCCCCCTGAATCATACGAACCCGCTTTGATTAATCCTGATCTTGGCCAAGCGAAGGTTCACAAACCGGAGAGGACTGGCCGGGTCTGGATTCATCTGAGGCTAGGGGGACTGCCCAAAATCCGCAAGGGGGGGGGGGGGGGTGGGGGGTGGGGCTGGGGGGTGGGGGGGTGTTATTAATCATGTGCCTCCACGAAAGGGAAACCAAACGGAGACCAATCCCATTTGAGAATCTTGGGACCTCAAAACGAGCCTTTTTAAGGTTGCGCCTTCCGGCAACGGGGCCCCAAGTCTCTGCCAACATGGCGGTGGAAAATACCCAAAACACCAAAACGGGTTTTACCATCCCCATTCTTTGTCCAAACAGGGGTTCCTTCGTATCGCAAGAAAGTGAACCTGGGTTAAGTTCAAGTTTGATTCCCGTAAGGTCGATCAAGTTTTGCCGGAAAAATGGAAGCGCCAATTGTTTCCGAAAAGTCCGGACGGGGCGATTTGGTCACACCAAAGACCCATGACCGCAACTATGCCCACAGCGACAAGTATTTTTCTTGATGGCCACGAAAGGGCACTAGCATCCAGTAAGGCATCCCAAAACCCAACCACCACTTCAACTAAGTACATTACTAAACTTGATTGCTCTTGACCCCTCTGCAAACAGTTTAACTTGTTGTGGGTTCAATGAAAAACTCTTGACTTCCAACAAAGTTAAAGTGTTAAAATACACCGAAAGGCAATCAACAGAAAGGTCTCTTAATCGGTTCACACAACTTTTCTTGGTAGAGAAAGGATCGATGTCTCTCCTGAAGCAAACGATGGCTTCCGGCTTTAAATGGCTTGGCGGTGCCATTAGACGGGACCTGCGATAGCTCCAAATGCGCAAGCAACTTGGGGTTGAATATCTTTCAAATCTATATAGTCTTCAACGGTTTGCGAATCCGCGCACAAGTTTTCCACGCAACCAAGCCCTCGAGTTCTTTGGCACCTGCTTCTTGCAAGCGCGGAGGGAGGTAGAAAAAGAAACGGCTCAGCCTTGGAGTCTCTCTGCGCTGGTTTCTCTTTGGCGTCCCTTGAAAATCAAATTGAGACTCCTGTGCATTCAACTTGTGCACCTCAGAGGGATTCCCCGACCAACTCTCAGTGAAACACTTTCCGGTCGCTCAGGGCATTCTTGTACCAAAAAGACAAAGTAATACAAAACAAAAAAGAGAACGCTGGGGCCCTCCTCCAGCACAAAACAAACAGAAACACACAATGCCACTGCTGGCCATCCTGGGATCCATCTTGGGTGTGCCATCCGCAGATGAATCCCACTTTGGTCCACCATGATCCATGCCACTCCAGGCAAATCTTGGGCTTTGCAAATCCCAGCCCCAACCTTCCCCCCAGGTCCTTCGGCGTCTCACGCCGCGCGGCGCGTGCTCCAGGAGAGCGCGATGCGCGCGAGGTCTTCGAGGCCCATGGAGGGCGCCGCGATCTCCGGGACCTCCTGGCGATCGATCGACCGAGCGCGACCTGTGGGCGCTTCGGTCCATCGACCCGTGACGAGCTCCGCGGGCGAAATGGGCACTCCATCCTGGTTGATTTGGAGGGGACTCGGGATGGGAACTCCTAGGTCCTCCAGTAGAGATGTTAGAATGAGGGTACCAACTTTTTTCTGTAGCCTATTTTGGTAGGGGAACCCTCCCTCAAAAAGGGATAAAAGGGCACTACTGGAAGACCTAGCCTCCAAAAGAAAGGAACACAAATAGTTGACTGGGTGTCTGGTCTCGGGTACCGTTGGTGACCTCCCATTCGAATCGGTGGAAAAATTGGCCGGCAAGGCATGCAAACCAGCTGATACCCTACAAAATACAAGTTGGTCCAGCTGATCCCCTTCAAAAGTTGCTCCCGCATCGCGATAGTTGGCAGAGCTACCACTCTGATTTGCCTTTTGACTGGCAAATGTAGAAACGTGTGATTTTGCAAAAGTCTAGCCAGACCCTCCCCATTCTCTTCAGGCATCCTTCTCTTAAAAACATCCGCCAATCCCCTGGGAAAATGTGCGGTTTTAAAAGGACCGATGGGTGAAGAAAATGGAGGATCAACTCTTTGGATCAAATCTTAGGAAAGGGTCAAACGTGTTGGGACGCTCCCTTTCTCGTAGTTTCCTGCAGAAGTGCCCCTAAAAATTACCCTTCCAGTTCTCGTTTAGTACTCTAATAGGATCCGCCAAACGTGTATCACGGCTTCCCGGAAGGTCCTACTGACTTGCACCGATGTAAGAGGACCCAGAAAAAAGGGTGGAGTACATGTGCCACATCTTGAGGTCCTATGGACGCGTTTGTGAGGCTTCCAATTCGGTGTTGTATCATCCAGTGCTTCCAGTTGCCACAATGGTAGGTAACCGATCGGTATGGCTACCTCTAGGATTTGCACCATGGTGTCCCTTGGCTACAAAACTCCCTTCCCTTGGAAGCACCGGGTCAGTGAAAAAGATGCATGGGGAAATGGTGTGAGTTTTAATGAGGGGCGCTCTGGACATCAAAATTCGGTGGGGATTTCTGTCAACCATGGGAGGCCAACCGGCTTAGCTTGCTGCACTCACCTGAAGGAATCGGCATGAGCTCGCTACCCCTAAAGCTCATGTGCAAGCGGTGGATGGGTCTTTAAGGAGCCCCGAGGTGTTTCAAACGATAAAGCGCAGAATGCGTTTTCGACCCCGGAATAAAAACCGGTTCTACTTCAAAATCAACCAGGGGTGTATCGATCTGGCGTTCCCATTAATGGGAAACCACGGGATGACAGGTGCTTCCAAAAATCCTTACCAAGCATCCAAGTTGTGAAGTCCCTTTGGTGGAAGATGGTGGAAGCCTGGTTGCTTCCTGAAATAGAGAACCAATCCCTCCTTGTGATGTCCCTTCGAAACTGGCGATTGCCAGGGTCGTCGCAGAAATGACAGGATAGGACCCCCCCTGTTAAGGCAACATGCCTAGATTTGATGGGTTTCTTTACAACCCTTGGTACAGGCTTGCAAAAAGCTGACTGAATTTTGTAGTCTCCGCACCCAAACATGAACAGAACCAAACAAACAACTAAAAACCCAAAACCTTGCCAACGACAGTGCAGATGTGGTTTCCTTGCGCTAACCCTTCGCCCGACTCGACTCCAGCCTCAGGCACTTCCTCGGGAGCCTGCGAAAGCTTGAGCGGCGGAAATCGGCCGCTTTAGCAAGCAAGTGGGGTCAAATCCTTGGGATTGAGTGAAACCAAATCCAAGTGAATGAAAAGAAACCCTGGTTCATAATTAGCTGGATACCCTGCCCTCACTCACGCACACGCTCACACGCTCCGCAGGGCAGCCGTCCAAGTCCCAAGTGCCTTGGTGCTAAGCACAGTTAGCAGAAGCAGGAAGCCTGCATCACTAACATCGCCGCACTCCAGAATTGGATACCCTTGCATCCACAAACATGACCTCGCGTTTCGGGGTCCTGGTTCCATTTTACTTTAAAAGGGACTCTCTGGTGGGTTGGGTGTGTTCCTGGGCAACGTGGACAGGAGGGTATATGCAATTCGGGTGGGGGGGGGGGGCAAAAATAGCGGTTTCCTGTTTTTTTTCATCTCAAAACCAACCCTGAGAATGGGTTCGCCGCAAAAAGACACCACACCCAAATGGGTTCGTCCTATGCAGAGGCAGGATCGCTCCGCGCTCATCACAAGACCCGTTCGCAAACTCCTCTCACTTTCAACAGCCTCTAGGCGCATCAAATCTTGGCCCAACCCCTGTTGGCTCCTCCAGTGAGGTCAGAATAAGGGTACCCGACTTTTTTCCTGTAGTTTTTTTAGTTCCCCAAAAAACAGAGAGAATAAGGGTACCAACTTTTTGCCTGTAGCTTTTTTTAGTGGACTCCCCCAAAAACAAGGGTTAAAAAGGGCACTGGGGGACCTAGCCTGGGTACTGTGGATGGTTTTGAAATCCTTTTCGCAGCACCGTTCAGAAACCCTGGAATGGTCTGAATACCCTGCACATACCAACAAACAATAGTTTCAACTATGGTTTCAAAGAGGTGCGAACGGGTTTCGTCCAACAGTACGTTGCAGATGCTGTCTCATATTCTGGTCAACCTTAAAACATAATACATTTTCTGAGGCCCCGAAATCTGAAAGCGCTGGTGAACAGGCACTCGAGGTTGCGATTGGGCTCCAGACCGTTTTTCGGAATCCCCGCGGTAAAAACATATGCTCAGGCAAGAATGCCGGAGCCATTACATCAGCCAACCTACTCTTGGCTGTCCTCAGATCCCCGCTGATGACTTTTTTTGTGGGTTTGCTGAAAGCTACCGCTAATCCCTACAAAGATGGCAACCACCAAAACCTGTACTGCGACAGCAAGAATGAGGTCGGGGGTTGAAACCAAGTTACCCCCTCCATGCGGCAATCACAGAGTGTGTCATCATTTAGCTCCTCGATTACCTTCAGCCCCTGGCAGATCAGGTCCCATGTTCCCCATGTTGCGGAGGCGTCACCTTTTTGGAGGGAAGGTCCACCCCAAAAATGATCTGGTCCTGCTTTCTGCCGTGGATGCACCCCAAACAAGTCCAAACTTCCTGCTAAAAGCCCGAACTTGTTTTCCCAAGATGACCCAAGTGTCCAGGAACTCGCACGCTGGGCACATTAGAGTAGATGAAAGTATAGGCAAAACCAAGCAACTGCACTCGAAACGCCACGAAAAACCCACGTAGAGCCCGGGAGTGAGCCGCGTTTTGCTCGGCTTGCAACGGGTTGAAGACCAGCTCGTTGCCGCGAACGCGAACCCCGTGCTGCGTGCCGCGCGCGCGCGCGCTTGCGCGCCTCGTTCTTCAGGGCACTCTTCAGCTCTTGCGGCTCCGTGAGCTCTTTTGCCTCTGAAAACTGGGCTGGGACTGGGAGACTGGGGGACTGGGACAAGGGACTGGCACTGGGACTCTGAGGGACTGGGGCTCTGAGGGACTGGGATTAAACAGTGTCTCAGAATCGGGGAGCCAAAGATCGGAATCCCGGTCCCTGGGCACCTTGGATTTGCGGCCTTGGAAACGGGCGGGCCACAAGCAAGGGTGCGTGTGCAGACTGATCCCTAGGGTTTCTTGGCCCCAGTAAAAGACAGGCCCAAGGGGACCCAATTTGGATGACAATCCTTGGGTAAGCAATGGTGGTTATTTGAACCCAGGGTGATTGTTACTCTCTACACCCGAAAGAAGACCTTAACCCTGCGGTTCCCTCTGGGAAAAGCAACAACCTGGGCTTGAGTCTACCTTTGGGAGGTCCAATTCGGACAACGCAATGTTAGCCCACATTTGGGGTACGCAGAAATACCATGTTCAGAGTGTTTCATATCGAGCCAACCTCAAAATCCAGAATAGCTGGGGAGGATGCCCCAGCAATGTGGAGTGACTTTCTTTTGTTCCTTGCGACCCCTTGCTGAAAGTTGACTCTTGACATCGGATATGAATATGTCATAGATCCGTCTAAACGCCACAAGTTGAGTAGACTCTTCCACTTGCTTGAGCGACCTTGAAAACAAAAAACAAACATACACATATTTCCAATAGCGATGGATTCCCTTTGACACCAACAGGGGAAACAACAAACAACAACATTTTGGCGAGTGGAAGGAAGGCTACTCTGGGAACCGCCGAGTGCTTCACTTTATCCGATGGTTTCGGCTTTTGCCTCCAGAACCAACCTGGGTGGCTCGTCCTTTGTGCAGGGGAACCCCCCAACCAAAAAGGGGAGAGAAGGGCACTACTGGGGGAAATAGAAAAAAACATGCTCCAGCTCGTGTTGCCGCTTCGCTCCAGTCGGTACCCAAACCGACTGAGTCCCGTTCCCCCCACTCGACGCCAAGACCCGTACCAACAGCTGGCCAAGGATACCCAGCTCCTCCTCACACCGCTGCTCCTGCGCCGATTCCCGCGAGCTTCGGACGCGAAATGGCGGGCGCGAAACGGACGGCAACAAGGGGACCGTTTAGACCCGCGACATCCCAATGCATATGGAAAAGGTTGGGCCACCAGACCGCTGGAACATACCCCTGAAGCATAAGCCAAAAACAAGAGCAAATCAGGCGTAAATGAGCCCCAAAATCAGGCGTAACTGTCATGTTTCTTGGGGGCCAGTGGGGGAAGTCTGTGAATTTTGATGGAGTGAGCGCCCGCCCGCCCGCCCGTCCAAGCATGGCATGCGATATTGAAGACCATCCAGGTGCACGTTGAGCTCCAAAACGGGGGTTCTTTTGCCACCAAGCCAATGTGGTTGAATGAACCCAGGGGTCACGGTCAAAAACCAGTTGGATGGTTTTTGTAAAAGTCAGTCCCTCAGGTTCCCTATTCTGTTTTCCCATTCGACTCCCTGCAGTGCCTGCCGCTCACTTCTGTTCTGGGGCCGACATTTGGTTGAGCCCCTTATCTACCCCAAAACCTGTTTTGCTTACCCGTTTTTTCGTGTACAGCCCCTAACCTCCAAGCCCACAAAAAACATCTCGAGCATCGCCTTTTGAAATTTCTGCAGAGTATACCCTCGCTTGAGTCATAATCAAAACTCGGTATAAAAATGGTCTACCCAGAGTCATATTGACAAGGCGGATATCCGCGCCCATTTATGGCAAGGGGCTTCTCCCTTACCCTCCATCTACCCGAATTGGTTTTGAGCCAGTGACTCGCTTGCCCCAAGGGCCTGGAAATAACAACTAGGTCCTCCAGTACAGAGGTTGGAATAAGGGTACCCTTTTTTCTGTAGTCTATTTTTGTAGGGGAACCCTCCCCTAAAAAAGGGGAGAGAAGGGCACTACTGGGGCGGAAACTTGATCAAATACGGTCCAAATCAGGCAAAAGGTGTGGGCAAGCGGGCACCCAGCGGCCGAAGAGGAGTATTGTTCAACGTTCACCCTTTCAAACAAGGACAACTCAATGGGGTAAAAAGCAGCTAGTCTTTCCACCAACAACTGGCCGAAGAGGAGTATCTTTCAACTTTCACCCAACCACATATGGAGGTAAAGCAGGGTTTTTCCACCAACAACCTAGTTGTCCAACCGGGTCTTTGGAAGGCTTGGTTCCCTGTCGCGAATCAGAATCTCGCAGAACCTTCTCCGAGGCTCCTGTCGCGAGGTGATGAGTCAATGCCCGCAGTTGTGCAGTCTCTCTTCGCGGATTGAGACATGGGTGGCTCGTCTTTGACGGTTGCGGGGGGGACCCCTTTTCGGTTGGCTTAAAATTGGAAACAAAAGGGAAATCGTTGCGCCATTTTGAGGGGTCCGATTCCTTGACATGCATACCCCAAATTCGCCATTTTGAGGGTCCGATTCCTTTAAACAAAAGAGACATACCCGAACTGCTTGAAGTGTTTTTTTGGGGGGGTTCGCGGATGCACAAAATACAACTTCGTAGGCAAAAAAGGCCCCTTTCGCGAAGACAGATCCTCTCTGCCGAACCCTTTTGGCGGCCTAGGAAAAAGGCCAACATGCTGAATCATGCTTGATATGTCCTGCCGAGTACTTTCATTTACAACGTCGCACACTTTTGTGAGCTTGTTAGGGGAGTCTGGACAGCTCGAAAGTATACCCTGTCCATGGAACCCGCCAGTGTCCCGTTTAAAGGAAGGATCGTCCTTGAAAAACACACTGGTACCCCAAATAGGGGTCATTAATTTAATTAAAGGGAAGCCCTCCATAGTGGTGCGAAAGGGAAACAAAAGAAGCATATGTTGATGGAAACCCCTTCAAAACCAGTGTGTAACAAAGGCCTTGCTTTGGGGAATCAGGAAAAGACTACCCCGATTCGCAACTTCCACCGAAAGAGCTCTCCTCCACGTAGCACTCTCGCATGATGCGCTCCAGTAGGCGGATCTCCAGGACGTTGCTAGAGACCACCTCTTCGGATCCGTAGACCAAGAGAAAATACCCTGAAACTCACTTCCCGACGAGTTCATTGGCCCCAAAAAAGTCCCCAAACTGTCGGTGTACCACTAAAATGGTCCAAACCCAAAAAGTTTAAACTTCTGGCAGGGAGTGAGCAGTGTTTTTTGAATAGCAGGCAATTCAGACCCATTTTGGGCCAATTCATAGCTGGCTACAACAATGATTAAGCCATCATTGGTGGTCAATCACCCATACGCTAGGGTCTCATACCCTGGGTTTAAACATGGATCCGTTTGTACATTGAGCCGTTGATACAACAAGCTCGTCCCTGAAAGACGAGGCTCCCTAGAATGCGCCTTTTGAGCACCATCCCGCCACAAGAACACTAACCTAGAACTGGCCTGAAAGGTGATGTTTGAAACCACCAAACGAAGAAACATAGGGAACCGTGAATGGGCGAGTTCCCCTATTTTGAGACGCACCCAAATAAGGAATCTTCATTGCGGTTCAAGTCGCAAGGTTGGGCTTCAGCCTCCGAAGCTTCACCGACCTGAAATGAGGAGTCAAGTGGGAAAATCATCCGCGGTGAGCTTGGTTCGCCCCCAGTGAGTTGCTTAAAATTTGCTCGGGTTCCTCTCTGGCTATTTGCTGCCCCCGAACAGGAAGGAGCCCCCCAAGCAGCCATGGTAGTGCCTTTTCATGTTCCCGAACTTCCCCTTTTCCGCATTTTGGCACAATTTGAGGGTGTCGTTTTTAGGGGACCCCCCATCCCCCCAAAAAAGAGAAGAAACAGTTGTAGGCTTCCTGTTGGTTTTCCTCAAACACCAAAAAAAAAGTACCCTCACAAAAACCACACCCATGCACCCCAATCTTTCTTGGCCCTTAGGTATGATCCCGCCCTCGCCTCGCCGTCGGAGAGCGTCTCATCGGCGCCTCTTTCCGGAAAGTGCCGAAACGGGACGGGAAGCTCCCCGCATTCCCCAGGGGCAACTCCAGGGTGTCTGTGCGTGCTGTGTGCGGGTACCCTTTTTGAAGGGAGACCAAAAGAAAACACTAACCAGTTGGGGTCCTCTTTATTTTGACACGGTGTGTGTTTTTTTTGTTTGAGGGTTGCTTTTTCAGGGGTTTTGTTGGCTCCATGATGACAAACCCATTCAAGGGGAAGAAAGCCAGGCAGCCAGCTCACGAAGCCTGAACACGTGTGTATTTGTTCAAGGGCGCGCTTTTGGCGGTTGGTTGGAAGGGAAACCTAAAGCAAAACCCAAGCCCATCTTCGGCTTCACGCTGTTTTGACACATGCCCAGTAAACCGAAAGGCTGAACTTAGAACTCATGTTTAGTGGGGAAGCACCAAACAAAAGGGGAAGGGAAAAGGTGCTGCACAACTGGGCGCCGTCCATTGCAATCAACACGAGGACTTTGAAGATCCAGCAACTGTGGCAGTGGACAAAGTTAATTTCTCCCCTACAGTTTAATACAGGGTTGTGGGAAATGGAATCCACTTCTGTGATACAACAAAAAGGGCTTCCCAAAGACTAACACCCATATACAGGGGGAGAACATATTTTGCATCACAGAAGTGGGAATAAACCCCGAGTGATTCCACAACCCTGGTTTAATATCACTGCATGGTTTATACAAGAATTCCAAGACCTGAAGTAAGGGATCCCCAAGTACCCAAGTACAGGAGCTTTGGTGAGCTTGCCATAAGCTCCTTGGGGACTCGTTCGTAGAGGAAGCTCCTTGTGGGCGACTCAAAATTTGGGGTCCAGAAAACTGGGCTGCCCTCAGATCCCCCGCGAAAAGCTCAACTTTTAGTGGTTTAAATGGCAACTACCACTAAACACTACAAGGCTAAGCAGCTCCGGGGATGGCTAGGAACCACCAAGAAACGCATAACAGAACCAACCTTCGACCCGTTCTCCAACGAAAACCCCTCGCTGCTCCGGACTTCCGGAAGCCCTTATTCCGGTACGACACTTGGTTGCTGGAATCCACGGCCCCTCTACAAAAACTGAACAACGTTTGGTGGGTTCCATGGAGAATCCACGGCCTTCAAAAAAAAGTCAAAAAGATCCAACCCTATAGCCATCAAGTCAAGACCAAGTAGGCAGAGGGTAGATTGATGCGAATCATATATCTAGTTGTATATTTTTCGCCCCTTGTGGGTGTGGCTCAAAATTATAAAGCTAGGGTTACGCAGGTGTTAGTCTTGGTTCCATTTGCCAAGGGTACCATGTTGGCACGTGTTTTTGAGCCACAGCCTTGTTCTAGTTTGTCTCTGAATGGTTGGGTGATGTTGGGTGCCTGGGGAAACAAACTAGCTTACCGGCAGAGTTGGGCCGTCCGGCCCTTTGCTCAAACCTGCTTAAATCACTGTAATGTCAAGAACCATTGCTGATGAATGCCTGGTCGACCCATTAACTTTGGGTTTCACTAAGATGGTTGTGTTTGCGATGGGCCTATAGTTCCGCCAGGTACACCCTACCAAAATGGCCCATTGGGCCATCTTGGTTTCCCAAGGCTGTCCATTTCTTTACGCAAATTCGCCACCAACCCTTTCCGCCCAGCCTGGCTCCGATTGCCTGCGGTTGCGAAACCCGGACCCGCGCGAGCATCCCTACGAAACAAGGACCTAGCAGCTTTCTACCCATAAACCCGGGATGTTCCAGATTTAGCACCCTAAAACTCCTAGGGCTTGGCAGGAAGAACCCGGCATTCCCCGTACCACACCCGAGTGGCTTTAGGCAAGTGGCTTTGCAGCGTTTCACAAGTTACTCGCAACGGTGCCACCTCAGGTCTCGCGAGCGCCGAACTCCTCTCGGGTCTCGCGAGCGCCAATAAGGGCGCAAGTCGCTATGGATCCGTCAAAAGCGGTTCTTCTTAGGTACTTCCACAAAACGTGCCAACTCAAAATCACGTCAGCTCACGTCCCAACTGTACCGAGGGGACTTTGGATATGGTTGAACAAGCCGTTGTTGGGTGGCCTACATCTCCTTCCCTTGCACCACCACCCTCAGCTGCTCTGGCGCGGGTTCTTGACGCGGCAGCCGCTCCGGAGGCGCCAAACAAATGAAGCAGAACAGGGTTGTGGGACATGGAATCCACTTCTGTGATACAACAAAAAGGGCTTCCCAAAGACTAACACCCCATATAAAGGGGGAGAAAATATTTTGTATCACAGAAATGGGAATAAACCCCTTGATTCCACAACTCTGAAACAGAATGATGATCTGCAACCTCTCCAGATGCGGCTGGGACCTCGAACCATGTTCATGATCTCGCAGGCCTGCTCTTTACCGGCGGTTTTTGCGCCGAAGTCCAGTCACTCAAGCAGATCAGCTTGAGCCCCCAGCACTGGGTGCAATCGCAAAGCATCAAAATCCCCCCTGTTGAGGATCCCAAACAGTTTGTTCAGGGCGTGGATGGCCCTTTCCAGCGCCCTGCACCAGCGCTGTCTGTGCTCTCCAGGCCGGTTTTGCTCCAGTTGGCTAAAGTCAGCCGATAAGTCACTTCTCAGCCGCTCGGCCAAGCCACCGTCAGGGCTCCTCCAATACTCGAAGCCATCTATGCGATCACAAAAGAGCACATCAAACATCTGTTCAAACAACTCCAGGGATGTCTCACATGTACAACTGGAGGCAATCCGCAGCGCAAGGATGCTTAGCAAGAATCCAGGCAGCGACTGAAGCCTCCCTTTCCTCTCATGAATGCACAAGGCCTTCAATACCCTCACCGCATTTCGTGACTTCCTGCAACACCGCAGCTGCTCGCATTTGATGCGAGCTTCTTCGCGGGATTTGCAGCGGGTGAAGTGCGGAAAGTCGTGATCGTTGAAGCCACAGTCTCTGAACATGTTCACACAAACCACGTCCATGTCGAAGCAATCCGGGCTGCCTAACTTCTGCAAGCGATACAAGCGATACGCCTTCCTCTTCTGTACGCTTCTTTCCATGGTGAACTCGGCTTCTTCAAGTTTCATGGTCAGAATGCGGCATAATAATTCGCGTTCTCGTATCGCCAGCCTTTGCGGGGTGTGGATCCAAATGTCGTAGTCAGAGACTTTACTCAAGGCTGTGCCGTGACCATGCGAGCCAGCGAGCTGAATACGTCCATTAAACAGCTGAGCTGTGTCACGGAGAATAGCTGACAGTTCTGCTGCCGCCGGCAGATGCGCAGACCCCGAACGATCTGCCAACCTGTCCAATTGCTCCGATGTAAACGTGAAGGGCAAACAGGAAGGCACCAACATCAGCAAGGTCAGGCAAAGGATTCTTCTGGGGGCGTGTTTGAAGCATTTCGCGAACACCTGCCTCAAGCTGGCAGTTGTGTCACTCGCCAACATGCTCCTTGTAGCCGAGCGGCTGGTTTGACAGGCTTCTCGCACCTGATGGTGCAAGCTGCGATAGCGACGATGAGACGGTCAGCTTTGGACACCAAAAACAGCACGTGTCAGCCACCATTGCCACTGGAGTGCGCTCGAACCGAGCCGACTTTTCGCGACGAACACGGGCCACTTGGTTTGAGTAAAACCGACGCAATGTTGCCATGTGTGTGTGTGTCCTTTTCTCAGGGGACCCCTTTGAAACCAACCAAGAAGGGGGTCCCCTAGCAAACAACCAATTCACAGCCCTACAAATTTGAGCAAATGTATGCAGCCTTCGAGCCGCATTGTAGATCCTCGACACATCAGATACAAAAATAATTAATGTGGCCCTTTTGGCCACCAAACCTATAGACCCCTTTGGCCCCTCGTCGGATTATATACCCTCCCCAGCCTCCCCCCCCCCCAAAGAAAAACAAAAACACACTGGGCCCCTTCGGCGGATTGTGTCCGAATGTGAGGAAAACACAAGAAACTGACAAGACTTCCTACTTGTTGCTTCAATGACCAATCAAGGGTTGCCATCAAAAAGGGGTATATACGCGTGTGTGTGTGTGTCTCTAGCGTAGGTTCCCTTTGAATTCCACATTAACCCTACCCTCGAACAACACGCACAACACGCACAACGCGCACACACACACACACACACACACACACACACACACACACACACCGAGAGACACAATCACAAACACCAACACACATACACACAACACACAACACGCCATACACCACAAACACACATGTGTATACATATTTATAGTTGTGTATGTATATATATATACATAAATGAATTATACATATATATCTGGGTAAATTATGATGTTTCACCAGCCTGAAATAAGGTGGTGGGAAGGATATTCCCCACATAAACCACCATTTCGGGTGAGGTCGTGTCAGGTCGCCCTAATTCACCCATATATATATAATATAAACAACCTTCTGCCAACACATCCCCAGGCTATGAGAACCCGCCGCCCATCGGATTCCCGGCCATCCGATTCCCCCCCGCCAGCTGTCCAACTGCCGCTGCCGAGCTTCCTGAGGCCGGAGGCGCATGAGGTGACCCGGAAGATCCTGCCCTGGGAACCATCAGAATCTGGCAAACCATTTGGGGCTTGGGGAGCAAGGCAGCGTTTTCCTGAACAGGTCCGCCGGTCCAAACTAAAGAAACAGCGTAGGGTTACTGTTCATTGGAAGCCCTGTGGACATCAAATTTAAGCGATCAGTGCGTGTTGGAATCCCTGTGCATAAGCGATTTGTCACTCTTAGTGCCTAAATCTGCGCCGTCCACGATACAACAGCCCTAGTTTCAAGCTCACTACCGACGCATTCTGGATGAGCCCAGGTGACACCAGCCCCAGATTCAAGCATAGCAGCAAAAAACGACAGTTGTTTCGATGCGCTGAAAGTTACTCAACTGCTCTTGCACTGCGGTCTCTGCTACATTCCGGCTCACGCAGGTCACAACATACCCAGAGTTCAGAATGGCAGCAAAAACACCATTGTCAGTTGCTTGAATCCGCTGGACGTTCCTGAGCTGCTCTTGCACCTGGCTGCTGTCTCCGCCATAGCTTGCACGACCCCAGGTGACAACAGCACCAGATTCAAGAATAGTAGCAAAAGCGCTTTGAGTTGCTTGGATGTCCTGGACGTTTCTCAGCTGCTCTTGCGCCTGGCTGCTGTCTCCGCCGCAATTGGGATCACCCCATGTCACAACATACCCAGATTCAAGAATAGTAGCAAAAGCACCGTAACTTGCTTGCATGTTCCGGACTGCTGCTGTCTCCGCCGTATTCCGGATCACTCCAGGTCACACTATGGCCAGAGTGAAGAATGCAGCAAAAGCATCTTGGACTTTCCTGAGCTGCTCTTGCACGTGGCTGCTGTCTCCGCCATAGCTTGCACGACCCCAAGAAACAACATGCCCAGATTCAAGAACAGCAGCAAAAGCAGCGCCAGTTGCTTGTATTTGTTGCACGTTTCTCAGCTGCTCTTGCGCCTGGCTGCTGTCTGCGCCGAAAGATGAATAACCCCAGGTCACAACATACCCAGATTCAAGAATAGCAGCAAAAGCACCGTCAGTTGCTTGGATGTGTTGGACATTTCTTAGCTGCTCTTGCACCTGGCCGCTGTCTCCGCCATATTTTGGATCACCCCAGGTCACAACACACCCAGAGTCAAGAATGGCAGCAAAAGCACCGTTGGCAGTTGCTTGAATCCGCTGGACGTTGTTTAGCTGCTCCTTCACCTGGCTGCAGTCTCCGCCATATCTTGGATCACCCCAGGTCACAACACACCCAGAATCAAGAATGGCAGCAAAAGCACCAATCGCAGTTGCTTGGATCTGCTGGACGTTCTTGAGCTGTTCTTGCACCTGGCTGCTGTCCCCGCCGTAATCTGCATCACCCCAGGTCACAACATGCCCAGATTCAAGAATAGCAGCAAAAGCACCAGTCGCAGTTGCTTGGATCTGCTGGACGTTCTTGAGCTGTTCTTGCACATGGCTGCTGTCCCCGCCGTAATCTGCATCACCCCAGGTCACAACATGCCCAGATTCAAGAATAGCAGCAAAAGCACCGTCAGTTGCTTGGATATTTTGGACATTTCTTAGCTGCTCTTTCACCTGGCTGCTGTCCCCGCCGTAGCCTGCATTACCCCAGGTCACAACATGCCCAGATTCAAGAATAGCAGCAAAAGCACCTTCAGTTGCTTGGATGTGTTGGACATTTCTTAGCTGCTCTTGCACCTGGCCGCTCTCTCCGCCATATTTTGGATCACCCCAGGTCACAACACACCCAGAATCAAGAATGGCAGCAAAAGCACCGTTCGCAGTTGCTTGAATCCGCTGGACGTTCTTTAGCTGCTCTTTCACCTTTCCGCTGTGCTCGCAGTGACCCAGATTCAAGAATAGCAGCAAAAGCACCATTGGCAGTTGCTTGGATGTTTTTGACGTTTCCCAGCTGCTGTTTTACCTGGCTGCTGTCTCCGCCATAATCTGGATCACCCCAGGTCACACCTTCGCCCTGGTGGCCACAGAAAGCAAACGCCCTTCTAGTGGCGGCCAGCTTGCGAAGCTGCACAACCGCAGCCACCACGTCCCCATCTCGCAACCCGGCCTCACTCAGCGTAGCCGTCGGATCAAGATGCTGGCCGTTCGCAATGAGCTTCAAAGGGTGCTGGAAGTGTTGCTGCGCTGCAGCCTTCAGCTCACTGACGGGCGCTGCCGGTGAGACTTCTACGGAGAAGCCATCTCCGCTGGGCAAGTGGACATCCACCTTCATGGCGTACCGGGTGTGCCAAAGCACGCCTGTGACACAAAATGTTTTACGTCGAACAAGCCCCACCCAAGAAAATTGCCAACTCAAAGGCTCGGAAGACACGTTGCTTGAAATGGTTGCTTGAAGACGTCCAGGCCCTGACTTCTGCCTGCCACTCCACGACCAAAAGAGTCCAACCCTGGCTAGCAAAGAGTGTCTAGTGGGTGTTGCGAACGCAAACCAGTCAACCACTACGTGCTGTTGACCCCTGGTCAATCTACGCTGTAGTTGCTGCCAATTGCAAAGTGCAAACTCAAGGAAATGTCAGATCCTAGGGCAGAGCGGCAGGAACTGGCAATGAAAGGCGCGAGCTTGACAGTAGAAGCACGAGGCACTAGACCCTCACAAGGTGTTGCTACTCCACTGCCTTGCCAGCATGTCACTAAACAGCCTCGGCGGTGTGCCAGGGGATAGCCGGACATGCGGCGCGGCAAGCCCTTCTCAAGTAGCACTACACAAAGCAAAATGACCTCCGCGGAAAACGTGAATAGGGCAGCAAGCCAGACACAAGGTGATCGACCAGTAGTCGCCGAGCTTTTCCAGCACGAAGACAAAACTCAAGCCTGACGCTTTGCACTGCTGCCCTGGCTTTGGCTTCGGAGTGCCTTGGGCTGTTGCGGACAGCTCTCCTGCCCGGGACGTGTCTGCACCCAGAAAACCAATCACTTTCGCAACCACTCCGATCCACTCACTTCCCCCTCACCCCCAGTTCCGCACCCATGCGCTTGTGCCCACGCCTGCCACCCAAAGCGGGCGCCCCGGCGCTCGCACTAGGTCGCCCGCTCAGCTGCTCCCCTTCAGCTGCGCATGGTAAGCGCGCCCGCATAGGCGCCCGCGCACAGCGCTGCACAGGGCGCGAGCCAAACGGCTCGGGGCTGCCCAGCACACATCCACGCGCCAGCCAAATTGCAAGCGAGCCCGTTGAGTAGCGCGCACGCCAGCCAAAGGGTAAGCACGCCCGCTCAAGACGGCTGCATCCACGCCAGCGGACCGCGCCCACGCGCCTGCACACGCTCACTGCTGCGTCCACGCCGGCCAATGATGAGCACACACGCTCGACTGCACGCGCTACACACGCAACCAAGTCCCTGCTTAAGCGTAGCTTCTGCTAGGTTCTGCTATGACAGTGCAAACTTAGCATCATGCTTCACGATATCTCCTGTCAATTTCTCTTGCGAGAGATGCCGTGAATTGACGATCTGCACGGTCTGCACGATGCGCAGCGACCCGCATGATGTCCGCAGAGGGTTCGCCGCGGATAAGACATATTGGCACGGCACCACGTCAAGAGCGCTTCGACACGCACGATCTCAACACAAGCGCCATGAACCGGGCGCAAAAGCGACAGACAACTCGGGTGCAAAAGCGACTCGCATGCCCTGTCAGGCTTCGGGCTGTCTCGGTTGTCCCGTCACAAGCTCTGCACAGCTGTCTGTCACATCTGTCTGTCAGAGCCTGTCGCAGCTGTCTGTAACCGACCAGCTGTCGGCGGGCTGGCTGGTTGCGGCAGCTGGATAACAACCCCAAACCCGTTGGGGAAAGACATGCTTATTTGGTGTGAGCTTCAAGGAAATTTTGTGAGGGTCGCAACCCAAGAGGTCGGAGCCATTTCCCCTCGCTGGAGCCGGCACTTCGGAAGCT